ACTGGAAACAATCTCCATTCAGGTCAGGCTGGGGGCTGAGGAAGCCAGGCAGGAGGGTGGGGCTCAGGGACACAGCCCAGCGGGGGGCCCGGGGGTTCTCAGAGGGGCCTGTGCCCTGATCCCAGGGACAGGACGAGGCTTGGCCTAGGCTGAGCTCCCTTGGTGCCTGGCACCGGCTGAGGCTGGGGGTGTGGGTGGGCCTGGCCTCTTCCAAAGCCCTCCTGGTCGGGCAGCGGGCGGGGTGGGCTGGGGGCTGGGCGCGGCCGCTCATATCTTACCCGTTACTTCATTCATTTTGCTCCCACTGATCCCTTGTTTATCTCACTGGGAATGCAGCCGCGGTAGAAGCTGGGGCCAAGGGAAAGGCCAGAACCTGGACGGCCTCCAGTAGGGCCCCAGCCCCGACTGCCTGCCTCCCTCACCTGGGTCCCCGGGCTGAGCCCACCAGGTCAGCCGTCTCAGCCCCACTGCACAGGGAGGGGCCGCTCTGACAGCCTCTAACCTGGAGCCCAGAGACGGGGTTCTGGGCTTGGCCCTGCATGGATGGGCCATGCGGCCAGGCCGAGAACAGTCTGTCTCTGGGCCTTGCTTCCTCCGTCTGGGAGTTGGAAGTTGTCCTAAGTGACCTTTGAGTGTTCTTGTTGCTGTGAGCAATAAACCTACCATTTCATAAGCACAGACCCCGTGCCCACCCTAGCCTGGTCCTCGGGCTCCCGGCCCCCACCCGCACCTTGGACCTGTCCGTGGATTGTCACGATCCCACTTTTAGAGAGAGGCGGGCTACCTGGAGCACCCCAGGTGGAGGTGGGGATGAATCCCAGGCTGGAGAAGACCCTCTGGAGTGGGGTCGGGGGGTAGCAACGTCGGAGGTCAGAGCTGCCCTGGGGTGGGGGTGTGAGGGCCCCAGAGGGTCCGTGCCTGAAAGTGTCCTTTAGAAACTGATGAGGGGGATATGCCAGGCCCCAAACACACCTCCCGCTGCAGGGCCCCTGGCTGAGCGTGGCGGATGGGGGTGTTGGTGGCCCTGGGTTCAGTGAGTCCTAGTCCCCATCGCCGAGAAAACCTGCCTGGGTGAGGGAGACCCACCCTCTGGGTGGGGGGCAGCACTTTGACTTCAAGCCGGCCAGTCTGAGCCCTTGTCCTTGGTCAGTGATGTCCAAGGACTGTACCACCCTGCCAGAAGGGGGGCTTCCAGGTCCCCCCATCAGATGTGGCAGCTGATGAGTTCCTCAGGGTGCACAGCCCTGAGTGGCCAAGCTGGGACACCCTCCACAGCCTGTCTGACCCCCCCATGGATCCGGACCTCGGCCGTTTTTCGCGGCCCCTCCTCTGAGCTCCGTGACCCAGAAGGGCATGAGTTCAGGTCACGAGAGCCAGAGCCTCAGCGCCCTCTTGTCTTCTTTCTGCCCCCGCCTCCACAGCGACTTGGTTTTCCAGTCTGTGAAATGGGATGGGTGGGTCCAGCTCCAGGCCTGTTTCTGCCCTTCATGTTGGAGCCCTGAGGAGGAATGAGGTCATGTTTGTCTAGGGGTTGAAGCGTCTTGGAAGGAGAAAGCTCGGCAAAGACAAGGGCCCATTGTCCCCCCTTCCCCGGCCCCCTGCCAGCTCCCGCCCCAGTCACCAGACAAGGCCAGCCCTGCCTGCAGGCCCCAGAGGCCACCGCGTGCCAACAGGGGGTGACTCAGTGCCCCCTCCCTTCCCATTGGTTGTCACTGCCTGGAATCCCACCCTCAACACTTTGTCGGGGTGTGCAGAGGTCCAGGCAGGAAAAGGAGCTAAGGCTTTGGGGGTCCCGGCTTGGGGATCCCACATTCAGGGTGATACAGTAAGCTTGAGTGAGGCATCAAGGACAGCAGTATGTGGACTTGCCTCTCGGCAGCCTTGCTGGGGACCTCCTTCCGGCATCAGCTTGGGGATTGCTCACGGCGCCCCTGCACGGGGCACTGATGCCTCCACCCCCATTTCACAGGTGCGGAACATTTGTCCTCAGCCACCCAGTTCTTAACGAGCAGAGGTGGACTTTGAACTAGACTCTGTGTGGTTTGAGAGAACTCTGCAGAGAGGATCCAGGATGTGCAGACGGGGGTGGTCAGGGGCACCGAGAAAGGGCAGGCCCAGATCCCAGCGCTCACAGTGGTTGAGTGGTCCCAACAGAGATGCAGCGCCTCCCCTCTGAGCCTGTAGACAAGACCGTGGTCCTTCTTTGCCGCAAAATGAAGAGGCTGGGCCAGTCGGGTCTTCCTCTGCTAGGAACGGGGAAATTTCCTCGGCCTCTGGCATTTTAAAGGCAAGATAAAGGGTACCTAAAAAGTCTCGGCACTTCAAAGCAGCTAATGGGGGGACTTCCCTCGTAGTCCAGTGGTTAAGAATCCACCTTCCAGTGCAGGGGACTTGGGTTCAATGCCTGTCGGGAAACTACCATTACACATGCCACAGGGCAACTAAGCCAGCACGTGGCAATGACTGAGACCACATGTGCCCAGAAAGAGAAGCCTGAGTGCCACAAAGACCCGACACAGCCAAAAATAAATAAATCAATATTTTTAAAAAGAGAAAGAAACACCTTTCTAATGGGGCCGTACTTGGCCAGGGCCACTTCTGGGTCAGAGACACCCCTCTTTCTGGCCTTCCTACAGCTCCAAGGCCCATGGAGCTCTGTCAGCAATGAACCAGGCAAGACAAATAATAGCTCAAGCTTAAAGCGTCCAAAAGTAAACTCTTGATTTCCTCCCCAACCTGCTCCTCCCTGTGTCTTCCCCATCTCAGGAAATGGCAACCATCGTCCGCCCAGTTGCTCAGGCCAGAAAACTGGGAGGCATCCTTGAATCCTGCCACTCCTCACCACCCACATCCATCCCCTGCCAAGACTTGTCAATTCTACCTCCAAAATAAATCCGCAGTCCACTTTCCTCCATTCCCGCTGCCACCACTGTGTCACACCACCATCGGCTCTCCCCTGGACCACAATGCCTGCCACCCCTCTGCCAGAAGAACGGGCTTAAAATGTAAAATGTTAATCAGACCCCACTCTTTTGCTTAAACAGCCCCTTCCCCCAACAGCTTCCTGTTGCTTCCAGAGCAAGACACATCCCTTCGAATGGCTCTGAGATTCTGGTGACCTGGTGTTACTTCACCTCCTTCCACTCTCCCTGTCTTCTCTTTGCATCTGTGTATTTGCACATGCTGTTCCCTTTGCCTGGAAGCTCTTCCCTGCAGTTCTGCACTCAGATGGCCCCTTCTTGTCCTCCAGATCTGGGCTCCTGTCTCACTTTCTTCACCATGGCCCCCAACTAGGATTTCACCAGGCTGTCCCTTCAGAGTCCCTGGTTTGTCTCCTCTATAGGAGCTTGCCTTAATTTATGATTATGCTTTTCTGGTGGCTCAGATGGTAAAGAATCTGCCTGCAATGCAGGAGACCCGGGTTCAATCCCTGGGTTGGGAAGATCCCCTGGAGGAGGGCATGGCAACCCACCCCAGTATTCTTGCCTGGAGAATCCCATGGACAGAGGAGCCTCACAGGCTACTGTCTATGGGGTCATGAAGAGTCAGACACAACTGAGCAACTTTCACTTCACAATTATGCGTTCACCCTTTGTCTCTGCCGCAAACTGTTAAGATCCCCGAGGGCAGAGCATGTCTGTCTCGCTGTGTGCTTCTGATTGGCACTGAAATCTCTGCTAAATGAACTAACAGCTGAAGTCATAGCAGCAGCTCTTCCTGATTGAGCACTTCAGCCTCTCTCACGTGGACTAGAAGCATCTTCACCACCCGAGGAGGTAAATAGTATTAGTGCCCCCATTTCTCAGATGTGGAAAATGAGGCTCAGAGGCTGGGATGAGTCGCCCAGTATCAGCAGCCAGAACAGGGCAGAGCTGGGCTCAGAACCCAGATGGGTCAAACCTGAGGTCTGACCTGACCCTTGTGCTCTCTCAGTGGTGTGATGTAATCAAGGCCATTCCTGTATTCCACCAAGGCTTAGAAGTCGTCCAGTCAAGGATGTGACACTGTTTTCTGGCCCATTAAGACAGTTTAAAACCCCTGACAGTTAAGCTGGGACATGCCATCCCAATTTCAAAGACGTGAAAATGTGAAAACAGTGTTTTGGGGGAACTGATGAAATATGGTATTTTGGAAACAAAAACCATCCAGTCCTTACGATCCAAGGGACAAAATAGATGGGTTTCTCAGCAGCACTGAGGATTGTTCTGTAGCCACCCCAGGAAGAGTGGAGAAGCCCCGCCCTTGGCCCTGGCGAGTTCAAGGTCAAGCAAGGACAATCCAACTGCGAAGAACCGAGCTCTGTGCTGTGGCCAGGAAGCCCAGGACCTCCTGGGGGCGCCAGAGGGAGACCCCCAGCCCTGCCAGGGAGGCAGGGAGGGGCAAGGGCACAAACAGGCTTCCCGGAGGAGGGGGCAGCTAGGGTAGATCCCGGAGGAGGAGCAGAGGGGCAGGGAAGGGCTGGGCGGAGCGTCGGGCAGATGGAAGAGCGCCCTCTGGAGGTCCCACGGGACACGGCATGGGGCTGGAGCAGAAAGGGAACCGGCCTGAGGGGCTGAGGGGTGAAGGGTGACCGCTCCTCTCAGGGCTGAAGAGCTTCGAGGCTTCCTCCTGCATTGCAGGGAACCCCTGAAGTCACGAGGCAGTGGAGTGAGCAGGCCAACTCTATAAGCGAGAAGGATGGAGTGAGGAACGACAGGGGCCTTGAAGGCACTGTGGAGGCCTGGGAACGTCTGGGAGGATGCTGTCGAGGATCCTCTGTCACCCTTGGGCTGGACGGGACAGGCAGCTCGAGTTACACGCTCCCTCTTAGGGGTTCCTCTGGCTGTGGTCCGACCCACTGGTGAGGGGCAGAGGGAGCAGGCTGGGGCTGGGGGGGGGCAGCCTCCCACTCCCCCCCGGCCACCCCACCCCCTGGGGCCTGGGAATGTCTGGGCCGGCTGAGAGCCCGCTAGAAGCTGGTGAAAGGCCCCACTTACCGTGACGGATGGGGGCCCCGTCAGGCCACGCCAATTAGGCAAGATGGAGTGCCAGGGCAAGGCTATAAATATCTTGGCCAAGGCCCGGCCCAAGAATGTAAATGGTGGTGTTGAACAAGCGGGAGAAAATGTTCAGTTCAGACAGGATGGGATTTTTGTGTGTTTTAAAAACATGTTCTTCCCGCTTAGAAGACTTCACAACTGGGCAGCAACAAGACTGGGTGCCCAAGAGCTGGCTTCTTGTCCAGTCGGGCTAGAGCGAAGGCTGGCAGAGGTGGAAAGTTTCAGGACAAGTCCTTGGGAAGACCCATGCATTTGAAGCCCAGAAAAAGCCTGACCCCACTTGTGGCTTTGGCCCTGGGTGAGGGTATGCATTTGCCACCCAGTTTGGGGACGCACAGCCCAGTCAGGTGTCAGGGGTGTCACCAGAGAGTAGAGGCAGCGGGAGCTTTGCCGGAGCGTTCTGTCCCGCTGCGGGCGCTCTGTCCCGCTGCGGGCGTTCTGTCCCGCTGCGGGCACTCTGGATGGGGCCTCGCTGTTGGGGCTGAGGGAACAGCTGTTCAGGGCGAGATGGCTGGGGGTGGGTGAGCTTCTGGGGTCGCGGATGGGTGAGGCTGGGAGACCGTCAGCGGTGCATCTGGAGATGGAGCCCTGCCCACCTTAACACCCTTGTAGGGACTTCCTTGGGCTTCCCTGCTGGCCCAGATGGGAAAGAATCCGCCTGCAACGCAAGAGACCTGGGTTCAATCCCTGTGTTGGAAAGAGCCCATGGAGGAGGGCATGGCAACCCACTCCAGGTTTCTTGCCTGGAGAATCCCATGGACAGAGGAGCCTGGTGGGCTACCGTCCATGGGGTTGCACAGAGTTGGACACGACTGAGAGACTAACACACACGCACACACACGCGCAAGGCCTTCCTTGGTGGTCCAGTGGAAGAACCCACCTTCCAGGGCAAGGAACACGGCTTCTGTCCCTGGGCACACGTGGGACTGAGATCTCACATGCCACAGAGCGACTGAGCCCGCATGCTGCAACTGAGACCCCAGGCAGCCGAATCAATAAATAATTTAAAAAAAACAAACAACCTTTGTAAATCTCAGAGCGCACTGACCCACAGGATGACCCCTCTGCCTCAACGTCTCTGTTAGTTTCTAACCACGAGGTTGCAGTATCACAGGGAGGGAGGATGGAGAGCTGGCTGAGAAGCGGAGGCACACAGGTGCCCAGCAGTATTGGTACCCGCCCCTCTGCACAGAGAGGCCGAGAGTGCCGAGCAGTTGGCGCTGCCTGGAAACCCTTGGTCACGCTCTGAGGGTGAAATACTCGTACTCAGAGGGATCTGAGGACACTCAGCACAGGAGAGGCAGGGTGGGAGGCCTGGGCCTCCAAATGAAGCAGTGGCTGAGCCAGGCCTACAGAAAACCTTGGGGCAACAGAAAGGGTGATGTCCAGGAAAGTTGGTGGTGCTGGGCCCTGCTCTAAGTGCCTAGGGGAAGGCGCTCCGAATCAGGAAGGACGACCCCTCCACATGGATGCGTGTGAGGCTGGGGGTGGGGGGCTCGAGCAGAGTTGCGCTGAGCAAGGACTCATCTCCTGGCCCAAAGCAGCCAACCCCTGGGGTCCAGGCTGAGGGGACAGGTCAAGGAGATCACTAGAGTGTTCGAGGGGTTGTTGAGGAGTTGATTCATTTAGCAAATATTTATTGAGAACCTACTGTGTGCCGGGCGCTGTGCTCAATTCTGGCTGGAGTCCTCCAGCACAGAGGTGGGGCAGGGGGTCTGGCTTTCCAAGGAAGGGGCTTCCAGGGGCTTGGAGATGGGACTTGGGCTCAGCCAAGACGGAGCTCATGGAAGAACTCAAATTCTGCAGAGAAGTGCTGGGTCTGGGGAGTAAGCCCAGGCAGATGTTGGGGTTGGGACTGGACTGACTGGCGAGGGGTAAAGGGTGGTGTGGGGCTGGCGGGGCAGGAGCAGACCTGGGAAACACAATGGACGTCAGTCCTGCTCCCTGGAGACCCCCTAGCAGGTGGTGGTGCCCCCTCGCAGCCTGTGTAGGTAGGCGGGCTTAGGGAACAGAGCTGAACCTACAGGCAAAGGGGATACTGTGACCTTGCCTGGGACATGCCACTTGAGCATCCAAGGGTGGCCAGGGGGTTCCAGGTACCAGCAATGTGGCAGCCGGATGTTGGTCTATTTCTCAGTCTTCACAGATGGTTTATACCACTAGTCACTGTGCCCTCATCCCCCATGGTCATCCCAGGGGAGTACCCTCCAATCCTTCCCCTGACATCACCCAACCCACAGCCAGAAAGATTTGTCTTTCTCCTTGTGATTTCTTCTATTGCTTAGAAGCTTATAAAAGCCCTCAGGAAGTTTAAGAAAAGTTAAAGAATTTAAGGAATATGTATAAATGCTTTTCCAGAGGGAAGAAAATCTTCAGTATTTCCTACTAGCTACTGTAGAATTTTATTACTTATTTATATAAGTTTTAACTCTGTCCTCTGCCTGGAGATGATTTTAGTGTTAAATAGGATGAGTTAGCTAATTTCCTCCCATCCCGAGTTGCTCACCCTTCATTTTATAATCCTTGCTTTACTGTGCATTACATTTTTCCATAGAAGTGGTCCTTACATATAACAACTGCTTTGTATTCTATTCCAGTGATGCATGTTTCTAATCTTACCACACCGTTAAATTATTGTTCTTAGAGGACGTGTTTTATTGAAGGCTTTATAACATAGTAATTATGATTATGGCCTTTGAAGAAGTCAAACTGACTGAGATTTACATAGAAGCTTTTTTCCACTCAATAGATGTGTAACCCTGGGTTAGTTACCTCACAGTAAAATGGGGTATTAGGAGGCCTATAAATAACATGCTCTTCACCAGTTCAGAAAAAACTAATGGCTGCAGGAATCCGTCAGAGACAGCATTAACCTTATGACTGTGAATTGCTGTCCGTTGTCACTATTTGCATTCAACATTGTACGGGAGAGCCTAACCACTGCAATAAGGCAAGAAAAAAAATATAAGGTATGATGGTTAGAAAAATAGCCCCAAAACAAAGCCTCAGTGGGCATCCGGACCCTTCCTTCCTGACTTGGATAGACTTAAACCTTAGTCATCGGTCGTGCCAGACACCCTAGACCTTCTTCCTCCCTCTCCCAGGCGGAGGCTTCCCTCATAAAGTTACTACCGAGCCCAGCAGAAGATGCAAGTGTCCTGGGAGAGGAGAAACAAGAGTGGAGAGAGGACTGGAACGTCCTCCAGCTGCCGTCCCTTCAGACGGAAATCTGAGGTGGGGCGGCAGCGGAGGCTGGCACCTGATGACTACCTCACAGGGGCCCCAGTGATGCTGCAGTGAGACGATGCCCGTGAAGCACTCAGCACAGTGCCTGACAGAGTCAGCACTGCTCATATCATCAATGCACATGGGGTCTTGTTCCGTTTCGTTTCTCCTCTTGCCTTGAATTTCTAAAAAAAAAAACATTTAAAAATGTTCAGCCTGTATTTTTCCAGATGAAATGTAGGATTTTTTGATGGCATTCAAAGGAACATAAAACCCACTTCCCTCCAACCTTTGCCCCTCTCTCACTCTTTCAGTAGTTGCTGCATGGACATGATCCTGGGGTCGGGGGCTTCACCCAGGTACAGGACGGCAGTGGGCAGCAGGGGTGGGAAGCATGGCAGTCGTGGGCACAGCTGGAGGGGGCTGAGGCACAGCAGGCTCCACGGAGAGAGCAGCATGGAACACTCAGGTGCAACCCGGATGGCTGGGCTGGTGCAGTTGACCGGAACCAGATAACACAGGGCTCTGTGGGCATGGAAAGAATTTCCTAGGTTATCCCACTGGTGGTGGGAAGTTATTGGTGGGTTTGAGGCAAGCAACAGGATGAGCTTGGCATTTTTTAAAGATCAAGCTGGATTAGAAGGGAGCAGGAGTGGCTGATGGCAGTTGAGTTGGAAAGCTATCTCAGTGAGGCAGGTGAAGGTGGTAGGTGGCTCGGTGAGATGCGGGGGATGATGCCGGAGGAGGGCGGTGGTGGTGGGGAGGTGAGGGAAGGAAGGCGTGGAGGGGAATGGGAGTGGTGGTGAAGGAGCCGTGGCAATGGGAAGGTGGTAGGCGTGGGCTGATGGGGGTGGTTTGGGGAGGGATGAGATGTGAGGATGGCAGGGGAGTGGAGACAAGGGAGGAGCTGTGGCGATGATGGGGGTGGGAGTGAGTGGGGTAACGAGACAGTGCAGGGTGGTGAGCGATGGTCATCGGGCAGAAGGAGACAAGTGGAAAATTGAGGGATTCGTGAGGTCAGGCTCCCCAGGGCACGGTCCTGCTTTGGACCTGGGATGGAGAGGAGGGGGCAAGCGTGGGAAATGACTCAGGTTTGAGCGGCTGGGACATGAGCACTGCAGAGGGAGCAGTTTAGGGGAAGAGGAGGACTCCTGGTTTCGACGACTGAAGTTCAGGTGCCAAGGGAGAACCAGCAGAGATGACAACTGCCTGTCTGGACCAAGGAGGGCAGAGTAGGGTCCTTGGAGCCAGAAAAGATAAGGGTCTTAGGGAGCGGGTGGTCCGCAGCACTGAATGCTGCTGAGATGGTGAGTAGGGTAAAAAAAAACCGTGATGTTGCCCTTGGGGCTGGGTTCTGTGGGGTCACCGCTGACCTCGGTGAGGACTGTTTGGGCAGTATGGTGGGGGCGGGAGCCAGACAGGAGTAGTCTGGGGAGTGAGAGGGAGGTGAGGAGTGGAAGCAAGTGTGCAGACAGCTTTTTGGAGAGTTTGGCTATGACAGGGAGGTGAGAGATAGGGGCAGCCAAAGGTGGACGCGGGGTTCAAGGGAGGCTTTCTTTTTATTTTGTCAATGGAATGTCTACATGCCATTGAAGGGACTGATAAAAAGAGAGGTGCTGGAAACCTAAGGGTGGTGGATGGGCTGAGATGCCAAGCAGGTGGAGGGGAGGGGAGCCAGGCACCTCAGTAGAGAGGGTCTCTTCTGCCTGGGTGGAGAGGAGGAGGGCGGACAGACAGCCAGAGACTTGGAAACAGCAGGTTGATGTCGGTCCCATGGAACCAGCCTCAGGCTGCAAATAAAGGCTCAGA